TATATATATATATATATATATATATATATATGATCAACATTTTGAACTGCATATCATTATTATTATTATTATTAATGTTATTATTACAAATTGCACGAGTAGTTGTGCATTATAGGATATTTTTTATGATTCGATAAAAGCGTGGGAGGATCGACGTATTTCTAAACCTTTCGTGAATTTTACATATTGAAAAAAGTAACCTAGATTTTCCAGATTTTGTCGCATCGCGCCATGAGCAGGAAATTCAAGTAAGAGAATTCAAAAGAGTACCGAGTGAAAAAGAAAATGCTCTAAAATTCGATGCTGCCCGTTATTATATAGAAATTTCATTCGGATAAGCGGCGTTAGAGGGGAGGGGGAGGAGGGGGGGGGGGAAAGAGAGGAACAGCTCGGTGTTTAACCTTCTTTGAATTTACTACGCGCTATTATTCCTCTATTGGGAGGGGAGGGGAAGGGGGGAATCGTCGTACAAAAATGGATAGGCCGCGTATAAAAATTTTATAGAATTTTTTTTTTCCCTCTTCGTTTTTAATCGTTATTTATAGACACTTCGATGCGAGCCGTATCATTCTTCCCGCTAGCGAAATTGTCCTCTATATCCGGATCAAGCTTACACGAGCTATTGTCCCCGTAACTATTGAAATTTCAAATAAATGTTCCAGATTCGTGCATGCCATATTTAACACGTTCGTGTCGCTTTCTTCTTCGAGAAAAATAAGATTTTTAACCATTTACCATTTGTATTTACGCTTAAGAAGATTATCGATCAACAGCCCTCTAGAATGTTGTATTACATTATAAAATATATCCTATATAAAATATAGGATAGCGATTATACGGCGACAATGAATGCAAAGGGTTAAAGCGGAATATTAAGAGAAAAATTTAATAATAGAAGATACGTTCGAATGATAAAAAAAAAGAAAGAAAGAAGAGAGAAATTTAAAAAATTTGCCCCTCCCCCCCTTTTGCTATCTCGAGTAGAGTGAGACACGAGATGTCGCGAAATCACGCGTTCGAGCGATCCGTCTCTCGAGCAATCCTCCCATAATGGTCGGAGGGTAAACCGACGACAGTGGAGACGGAGGTGTTATCGGAACAATGGTGGGGAAAAACGGTTGAGTGATCATTGGGCATCAGTCAGAAACGATTCCGCCGCGGAGTTTCTGTTAGTTAGTCGGCGGGCAAGCCAGACAAATGGCGGCTCACCCCTTTCGCGAAAATGTGACGTGTGGTAAGGGGAGTAAGAAGAAGCGAAGCCAGCCAAGTATAATTTGGCCGCGAACCCATTTCGAAACTCTCGCGAATAGAAACAAGGATGGAAAGGAGAAGTGGATTAAAGATTCGAAGGGAAGAAATGAAATTAAGAGAGGAAACGAGAACGATTTTAATTTGATTTTCATACCATGTGTGTACACCTTTACAGTTGCTTTCGGAAAGAAAATCATCAGAGCGCGTGGTATCGTTTCGTGTGTGGAAAAATTATAATTCGGAAAATTGGTAGACTTCAACCTTTGACTCGTGTTCAACAATTGTTTCGAGACAGAGATGTCACTCTAACGGGTTACGTGAGCCAGGAGTTTAACTTGTTTTTCGCGCCTCGTTCACCGATAACGCGGTGAAAACAGCCGTCGAATAATCGAATCGATAACGATCGCCGTGCGAAACGACCACTTGAAACCCACGGAATTACAATTTCGTAACCCTCGAAACACGAGTGGAAACACGGCTACCTTTCACACGTCCCTGGTTTTTGATCGTGGCCTCCGCGGCACGAGTTGTGCCGCTACTCGAGGCCTCGATAGACCGAAAAACGGGTCACTGTTTTTTTTTTTTAACCTGTATATTTTCACGATCCTCGTTATAATCCCGCGTCGATGGCGTGGTACCAAGCCAGAGAAATATTATTCGACGAGCTGGTGTGATTAGTTGCGTCGCGTTTGAAAAATAACCACTGGTAAATTCGCGCACTTGTTTCGCCCGTCGAGATTCGACTCGATCGATGGTTACCCGATATTTTTTAATCAAAACGATCAGGGATGCGTTTTCAAGAATGTGTACACACGCTCCACATCGTATACGAGACTCATTAATTGGATCATTCTCGTTGATACTTGTTTATAAAAGAGAAAAAAGACAAATTACAGGAATTATAGGAACGATAATGGTATATTGTATTTCCCCGTTGCATTATTCGTTTTAGAAGGCTATTGAACAAATGATGTGTACGTACGATAGACCGCGAGCCACGCATTCCATTTATCAATCGAAGATATTTCAAAGATCCGCTCGATAATACCACTCGAAACTTATACAATACGTACGGACAATGCCGTAAGATTATTCGAGATGAAAATGAAGAAAAAGTTTGTTGAGAAAAAGGTAAAAAGAAAAAAGAAAAGGTAGCTTACTTACGTTTCTGTTAACGATAAGTATTTATTAACTACGTAATATTGAACACGAGGCGCGCGTTAAACGACAGTTTGTGAATAAACGCGATAAGCCCTATTGAAATAAGCCGAAACAGCAAGGCCCTGTTTACACTCGTATGAAAGACACGGGGGAAGTGTAGCAGACACGTATGCAAATACATAAGTACGCCTGTATATTCCGCGATACGTTCCGCTCGATGCTTTTTCGTTCCTTCGAGCGGCACACGGCCGTCTTTCTTTCTTGATTTCTCAAAGGCAGCGATCAACTATGGAAATTTTGTAACTAGTACTCGAACCCGGCCAGAGAGCAGACATCCGTGTAATTCAAAAGTACGGATTTTATTGGATCCCGTTTTCTGCACAGTTTTATTGGCGTGCCCCGTATGAAGCGATCGGTGACATCCCCCTTTGAAGTTATTTACATATTTATAAGTATACTATGCGCACGACTGTACGGTATATAACCGGTACGCCTGTGCAGACGATGCATAAAACGTATGTACCAATGTTAATTCGGTGTAAATATTATCAGATGCAAACGATCGTTTTCATCAATTCGATCAATGTATTTAATTAGTTCCTGTTTAATATTAATCAGAATTATAGATAAGTCATAGTTTATTCAATTAATATCGTGGAATAATTTAAAAAGAAGATTTTAGAAATGGTACTAAAATTTTGACAATTTTGTCCGATTTGTTCTGTCGTTTGTGATACAACTACGATTGTATCTTTTTTTTTTAAATACGATAAAATAATACGATGTTTGTATTAATTCTATATGCTTTTTTATTCCTCGAATCATTTTTTTAAAAAAATCATTTGGAATATATATCGTATCGAGATGTTCTATTCGTGTCGTAAGAGATGTTCGTCTATCCCTGTTGAATTCTAGAAATGCTACCTTCCAATTTTTGTTTTTAATCTCTGAGATTAATTAACCGATAGCTCCCGAACAATCAACGTCAGCAACAATTAAAAGATTAGCCATTTGAATCGATAAACGATGCATGTTCTCGATCCTTAAATCATCGATCAAAAAAAAAAAATTTCATGTACCGAAATTAAATTCAAATATAATTCAAATTTCGATTGAAATTCTAATTCAAACTACGCAAACATTCAACTTTCGACAACACTATTCCGTGAAAACAGTATTATATTTATTTTACTATATATATACGGTACGAAGGGGGAAACGGATCGCAAATATGGAGGGGAAGAACGATCTTGCATCGAAATTCTACGGTTTTGAACGAAAGGAGAAAGTGGAATCTATGACGAAGAAAAAAAATGCAGCAATATCGATTGAATATTAGAATCTGAGTGCATGCAAAATCAACGAGCACACATTAACTCCTTTGACTTGCTAAATAGGTTAATTTGAATGTTTAAATTCCGGGCCCGTTCAACTCAATTTGCGAGGACTCTGCGTCTGTTTAATTCCTTTCCTTCCACTATCCAGACAGTACTTGCATCAACTACCACTAAGCCAGGCCAGCTGGCCTGTTAACTTCCAACACGTTTCGAGCGGCCGACATACGGAAACGTCCGACAGCCCCTCACACGGATGCTTAAACGGGCCATGTGCTTCCTATATCGTTTAACTAGAGACTGCCACCTGTGCTTTAACACTGTAATTTTGTAACATTTCGTACCTCCCTTCTAATTATCTTACTAAAAAAGATGACAAGTCTAAATATACTTGTCACTGGTTGCAATATTGCAACTTAATTATAAGCGGCGGTATGATGATCACATATTGCAATTACGATTCGTATAAAAGATGAAAAGAAAGAGATCCGTATGATAATAAAAAGTTGTATCAAAATATATTCCTAGCAATTCAAATATCTATAATTATTACTACGATACTTTAATGAAATTTAGTAGGGAAATATATTCTATACGAGTGATAATCATTACCTTTAGATGATGAATTGACCGGGAGAGCGCGAACGCAGTCCCGACTAACAAAAATTGTACGTCCGAGATACCCACATTAGGGGTATTCGCAGAGGTCAGCCCAACCGTAGTGCAATGGAAGAGCCTCACCCTGGAGGAACCGCCTTCATGATCACGGTAACCTCTACGCCAGGTAAGTATGCTTTTGTCCCATGCTTCCAGTGACTTAAGCCCCTAGAATACAACTGTAACTGCGAGAAAACATGTACACCTAGCACTACATAACGGGAATTTTTGGAACTAACGACAATCGATCGAATTTTAACCCCCTCTATCCTAGTGTTAATTCATATTTCTAATTTATATATTTTAAATAATTACAGATAAAATAACTTCTTTAGTAAAATCTATTTTAAAAAAATTAGAAAATCGAACAATTAAAAACATTAAAATTAATTTTAATTTGTTTCGATCGCATGTAATATTATAAGTTATAATTTGAATTTCTTAGAAGTTAGTCTACTGTGTATAATTTGGCTGACTATTATCGCCGGCACAAATACGTGAATTAACATTGAGACTGTTCATTTGAATACGGAATCATTATTAGGCGTATGTACGTGCTTAGACGTTATATACGAAAAACGACACACAAAGGTAATATTTAATCACTTTATACATATAATGGTGTAGTTAATTACAGAATATTATTACTTTGATAAGTAATAATAAGTTGAATGAGATAATGATTGCAAAACATGAAATATACAATGCTAAAAACCATAAATGAAATATTTGATATCAAAAGAAGTAGATCTAGATAATTTTTTTTACATCTAATATAATATAAAATGTGTGTACAAATACACAGAACTTATGAAATAATAAACAAAATTTGTTTATAAAATAATAGCTTTTTATCAATGTAGAGATAAATAATATTATTTTAACTTTTAATAGGAAAATAATAAAATTGGACAATATTATAAAATAAGAGAAATAATGTTGTTAAGCACGAATACATAATATTATAAAGTACGAAAAAGTAATTTTTTTGAAATATCGTTTATATGAGAAAAGTATCTTTATCATATTGAGATATATTTATGAAAATAAATATTAGTAAAAGACACAATATTTCTTTTTGATTATGAATTATCCGGGATAGCGCGAACGCAGTCCCGACTACCAAAAATTGTACGTCCGAGATATCCACATTAGGGATATTCGCAGAGGTCAGCTCAACCGTAGTGCAATGGAAGAGCCTCACCCTGGAGGAACCGCCTTCATGATCACGGTAACCTCTACGCCAGGTAAGTATGCTTTCCTCTGCTTCTTTGACTTACTTAAGCCCATAGCGTATAATTCTAGCAGCGAGAAACTGAGTATAGATAGCGCTACGTAACGGCGACTTTAGGAACTAACTACGTTTTATCAACCTGACCCCATTTATAATTCCTATTTTAATTTCAAAATCCGATTATTTAATGACAAATATAAAATAAAATTAATTTTTTTTAATAATAATAAATTCTACTAATATTCTTTTAATAAATAATAATAAATATAATTTGAATACAATATAAAATTTTTTCATTCTTATGATTGTTTTATATTATAATATAATATAAGCGATTCTTGCAACATAATTTATTGAATGAATGTTAAAACATAAATAAAATTAAAATAAATTAATTAGTACGTAATAATAAGTTGCATTAACTATTAATAATATAATTATAACCTGCATAATAAATCTCACCGGTGAATATTTCAACTTAAAATGTGCATTTCAAAATATTTTAATAACATTTATAAATATTAATTTTTAATGAAGACATATTCCTGTTATGACTTTTTATGTTATAAGATAACAAGAAATATAAATAACCAATAGAAAAATTACTATGAAAATTATACATCCTATTTTTCACTATTGCAAAATTGCTTATTTTTCTTATTAAATTAAACAGGATAGCGTGAACGCTATTTTCCCGACTATCAAAAATTATTCTAGACACCGAGACACGTTGGAGATATTCGCAGATGTCAATTCAACCACAGTGCAATGGAAAAATTTCACCCTGGAAAAACCGCCTTCGTGATCACGGTAATCTCTGATCGACAGGTAGTATGTAGTAACTACTGTGTTCCATAATATTTTTATTGTATTTATCTAATATTTTCGAAAACGAGAAATCAAAAGTCAACTGAAACGCATCGTAGCGACTACTTTAAGAACTAAATAATTATTATGTAAATATATCCCTTTTTCAAATCTAAGGATGCAAGATTTCAAGGACATTTTTTTGATTGATGTCATGTAATGTATACGTTCAAATATGTCTCGTTAATACATAATAATTTTTAATTTTTAACATCGTACAAAATTGGCATAACATATATTAACACTATTGTATATGAATATCCATAGAAAATGTTACATTTCTATTTGTATCAATCTCAATTATTTAATATCTCGATCATATGAAATTTCTATAATTTTTCGTAATACAAATAATACATATTTCGATGTAGATATATTTATTTTCCATTTATAAAATATTCGCGTTCAAATTATTCATGTAGAACATACATGTCTATTATCGACGTACCAAATTGCAAATGATTCACTAACCTCGTCGTACCCCCTAACAGCAAACAAGATGAGGCCACACAGACGAATTTACGAAGACGGAAAAACCCCTTCAACATTCTCCATCCCGTAGTTTGTAGTAATCTGAAAATAGGTGAAACGTTTCGATAGAATCACGCTTATTTAACGATTCATCGTTATTACTTACTGTTTCTAAACGCTCTCGCGACATGTTTGATCGTGTCATTCACCGTGACAGTCGAAATTCGTAGTATCAAACAGCGATTGTAACACAACATATGACAAACGCTTGGAAAGGTACGATCATTGAATTCGCGATCTCGAGCGCAAATAGCGCGATTGCCATCACCATCGCTATCTTCTTTGTGCAATAATTGCAACGTCGATACGTTTCTATTTCCTTTAGATTCATCAACCTTTACACTGTTATTGCAATGATTGCAATCGCAAGGAGGATCATCTTTGGGAGGTGCGTACGTTTCCACCGTGACAACTATAAATACTGAATATCATATTTTCCCGTGAATTCTATGCGCTGTAACTCGATGCGTCTATGTTTCGAAAGCGGAGGTAATTTTATAAATGACCGATTTTATAACGAGTGAGTATTAATTTATTTTCAGCTTATTTATTTTAAATGAGACTTCGAAAGCGAAAGTAAAGCTTAAGCATGAATGATAGTAGTGTTAACTGTTAATTGGAATGTTAATAGTTTACGTGTGTTTGTTATATTACACGGACTTGTTACGTGTTCGTATAGCATGAAATTCGTGTATTTGATACGTAAACCTACATATTATAATTACTTTACACGACGACGACGACTGCATGGCACGAGACCGAGAAAAAAAAACAGGAAACTGCAGAAAAACGAAGTTACAAAATCAATGAACAAGCTCGCAGACGTTACCAGCGGAAACTGAAACTAACCGATGAATATACGATGTTGTATTTAGCTTATTGCAGTGCCGTGTCATAGATTAATTTTCATCATATTTATCGAAACTTTATTTCACATTCAAAAAATTTTTTCTAGATAATTTCAATTACTCGACAGAATAAATTCGACGATAAAAAATTATTTCCTATTTTTCATTGCATATAATATATTTTGCCAATAAAATAAAATTTATCGAGGTAAAAATATTTAAATTAGAAGGTGTAAAAAATTAAAATTTCTCATCGCAGAGAACGTAAATAAAATATATATGAAATTATTTGATCGAATACGTGTACGAGTTCCGTTAATGTTTATTTACAAAAATGAAAGATAGTCGAAAAGTTGTAGATACGAGTTACGTTACTGTTTTATTGTGTGTCAAAGATATCGTCATAGTGGCCTTTGGCATCGGCACACTGACATTTGATATCAACACAACAAAAAAATTCAATACATATCGGAGATATAGTAGCAGACATTTGATCATGAATAAAATATCGTTAATCTTTTTTCCATTCTTTGTTTTATTTTTTACGAAGCAAAACTATCTATGTAATGAAAAGTAAATGTATCGTCTACGAAAATATACCATGAATTTTCTAAAAAATATTTTCCAAAAACTCAGTATCACTGAATCGAATGTTACGACGATTAATCAAAAATGCATTTAAATTTATTTTTATTTATAGAAAAATATTTCTCTTTCCATTTTTCTTTCTCCGCGAATATCATCTTTATGCTAATTCTTTGCGCGTTCTAAATGATATAGTTGTCGGTCTATGGAGACAGAAACAATAACACTGAACTCTCGTTTCCACCTTGACCCGAAAGAGAAAAGAAAAATAACGAACGTTAAAGTTTATTTCCACGAATTAACTGGTGAATCGTCGGGATCCCGTATATGCGTGTTTAAATAATATCTCCTTAATGAATACTAGAATAATTTGCCGGAAGTTTTCAGCAATCGAAACGTGAATGTAAAGCGACGAATAAAAAAAAAAAACCAACATTACTGACTTTTTCTTAAATTATTATTATTATTCGTTAAAATTAATACCTGTATAAGTGAGTGAGTAAAACATTGTTAAATTGAAAACAATTTCGATTCTTTCTTCGCGTAAACGAAAACGGCCACGAGTTATTTAGAAGAACATTTTTAAGAATATTTAATAACTCGAGGGTAATATGCCGTGACGTATGATAAAACGAAATTCTTTCGTTTAGGCCATTAAGTTTATGAGAGTAATAAGGTTGCTTCACGGACGAGGTAATTCAATAACAACTTCAACATACAGCCACGATTATTGTAGTAAATTAAACATCCCCACCACCATCTACGCGAGTTGAGAAATGTCGATAAAAGTCGAAAGCCGTTTCGACCTGTAACTTAACGCCCGAATCTTTGAAGTTTATTGGCATAACAATAGGTATTTCGTGGCAGCTGACAATTGCATAATGTTGTGACTTATGAACTAATTTACATCTTAATCCGAGAGGGCCATTGTTCAACTCTATTGTTGCTCAAGAGCTCACTTGTGTCTAGGGTGGCAAACTTCGAAGGGCTGTAAAAACACGTCGTATTTACACTCGTTGATTCTCAGTTCCGTCAATGGTGGAGAATACGAGACACGTACATTGTATAAAACATCTCTGTTTTATATGGTATGAAAAACGAAAGGTAAAATAAAATTTCATCATTTTTATCAAAAATAAAATTTCCCCGAAATAAATCGTTCATAATAAAAAGATTATATTCGTTTGAAGAAAGGAATAATTAAGTTTCAACTTAATGACCGATCGTTCCCTTCTTTCGATTCAATTTAATTTTTTATATTTCAAGAACCGATCGATTTATATCGTACAATAAAAATATACGCCATCGTTAATTAATTTCGTCATATTTAATCTTCTCTTCGAAATATGGAACGTTCAATTGTACACCAATCTCTAAACGAATAGTAAGCGAGGTTGCCATCGAGCAAACGAATATTCCAATTTTCAGATGACATAGCTCGTCTTTTTCTTTTTTATTCGTCCTTTCTCGTCCGCCACTTGACTCCATTAAGCCGCTTCCAGACCCTGTCGTTCTGCCTTTACATTTTCATTTTCCATAAATTCGTTATAAAGGAGCTCAAACGCAATCAATATTAGCCATCTTATAAATATTCTTCTACTTACAACATTTTATACCGATTGTTCCCGACTGATACTTCTTATATCGAAAATAACTCCTGCTCCACTTTGCGTGGAAGTGGATACTCCATTGATAATTTGATCAGAAGTAATTAAATTAAAAAAAAAAAAAAAAAAAAAATAAAAAAAATTTATAAATAAAAATTTTCGAAAGTGTAAAAAAGTATAAACGTATCTCCTTAAAATTTTTAACAAACGTATCTCCTCGGTATTTATTTTAAATCGAAACCCATTCGATTCGATTATTTTCAGGTGTTTATTTTCCACGAAATAAAAATATAAAAATATATACATTATACAATTGGAGAGAGATCGAAGGATCATCTGTTTCTGATCAATTTATTTATTGCTTTTCATTTACCGTATCGGCTTTTTAAAACATTCCATCCATTTTTACCGTAAGTAATTCCCTTAACTGTTTTCTCCGCGCTAGTTTCGTTTATTCGATTAATATCGATTCGAACGAACTTGTACAATCCTGATTAATTCGTACACACAACGTATATGTAATCGTATATGCAACAATATATTGGCGTATATTCGTAATGATCGGTATGAACGCGGCTTTATATGCAACAGAAACGAAACGTGATTTCAAAAGAGGGGTATTGAAGTGATGGATAGTGCGAGGGTTGGCTATGGTAGAAAAAGGGTATTGGAGGGTGAAGAGGCCATGGAAAATTGTCAATCAGTACGAACCATCTAGACTTGATTACAACCCCCAGCAGCATTGGACTTGCAGTTTGTTTCGATGTTTCAGAGATAGCTAGTTGAATTTTTATGCTGAGATAGTGGGGCCCGGCCACTTTTATGTATCCGTGTATCACTGCGGTTCACCGGCTCTCTACCAGATTCCTTTTACCATTTTTCCTCTCGTTCGTGATAATTTTCAAGGCTGACGTGACATTATTTATATACTTAGATTGTAAACAAAATAGTGATAGGTTGCAAGATAGAAAAGATGCATCAAAGGAAAAAAATACCGTATCGAATAAATAAACCCTTTGTAAACAAATCACCCAAGAAAATTAAAGAAAGTTCATTTCGTATTACACGGAGATGTGAAAATTTATATTTAACGTTACGTTTTAATTTAAAATTTAAATAATTTAAAACGTTGAGAAAATAAATACTAGGAAAAAAAAAAAAAAATAATCGAAGAATACTTTCTATTATTGGAATGAAATTTTTCTTCGTAGTTTCTATCTACGTATACATTCGCATACACGTACACACACACGTTTCTAGACAATTCTAATTCTTGATTCCAATCGACTCTCCGACTTTCAATTTCTTTTTCAGTTTATTTTACCATCTCCATTGTTATACGATCAAATCAATTTCAATCAACGTATTCAATGCTGGAAAAATTCGAAAACGATTAAACTTACTATATCGATTCGATGGTATCTCTCTTTAAATGTCTAGCATCTTTCTCTTTCGAGAAAGAAACTGTCGAAAATTTTCTCTCTCAAATATACGAAAATCATTTCCGCGACAAACTTTCTTCTTTCCTTTCTCTGGCCAGAAAGTCACAAGTCGGAAACAGTCGGACGTAATGCGAAGAATAGAACGCAACGAGGAGAATCGATTGATGAAAAGCATACGCGTCGCTCGCAGACACGTGACCGGGCCACGTCCCATCCCCATTTGTCAATCCCTATTCACTCACGATCACTGTATTCTCGTGTCAATAATAACGATCAGTCGATGCAAACGTCTAGTCCCACAGTTGCTACAACCAGGGTGCGTCTCCCTGCGTGGAGCACGTGCTCGTGTGATTACGCCGTGTGGGGATAAGAGTTCACACGGGAGAGGATGCATGAACGGATGCGACACGTATAAGCGTCAACTATCCATCCCTAAGTAAGTTTGGACCGAGCGAAAGTAAGATGGCTCCTCATTGAGTGTGTACGAAGGCTTAGAAAGGAGTTAAGAAAATCTTCTGGAGGAAGAGGAAGATCAGATGGGCGGGCGATATCGGTCTATCCAGCTCGAGGAAAGTTTGCGATTCATACAGTTCATGCGGAAATTCATTGTATCCGATTAATCCCCTCTCCTCCGTCGTTTATCTTCCACCGAAGTTATCTTTAAATCTAGATCGGAGGATAAATTTTGTTTCGAGCGTTATCCGAGGAGTAAAAATTACTCCTTCGATACACGGAAGAAAATTTTTGAATAAATTTTTTTTAAATATTTGAGAGATATTTTTCATTTTGCGTTTGCATTTTTTTTTTTCTTTTGAAAAATTCGAAGCAAGAAGGAAGGAAGTAAGGGGAATTTGTGAATTTGTTGTAGATTTTTCATTTCGACCGTGTAATTTTATTTCTCGAGGAAGCGAGGAAATCGTTCTGATTTGTGAGCAATTTGAAAGCACGTGGCCACGATCACCGGAAGCAATTCCTGAAAGAAATTTTCAGATAATACAATTTATCCAGCAGCCGTTGCACACGTGCAATGTGTCAAATAAGAGATTACGGCACGTGCTCGACATTATCCCGTACAAAAGATTACGTAAACTTGGAAACGATTTTATTCACGCGATATAACGTTGCGTGCCCTCTTTATATCTTTATATCTCTCATCGTGAATCACTTTCCTCGATAATCCTCTCGACTCTCCTCTTTTTGTTGTAATTCGAATGTGAGCGAATATAATAGGAAATCAACTACGAGAAAGACTTTTTCAACTTTTCTTTTTTCGCAGGAAAAATTTGAAAAGTTTTTGAAACAAATTAGAATTACTCGACTCATGTATCGCGATTCATAATAAATTCGATATGGTCGATACGGATACGATACAAGTGAAACAGTGGAATGCAAAGAAATTTTATTGGCTTCGATTCGTTAATGGCGGCGGTCTGCCAGGTAGAGAGAAAAGAATGATGAAAAAATTTAATTAACTGGTGGCGCAAAGGGGAAGGTAATTTTGTCGCACTTCCAAGGAATCGCAAAGGAAGTCTGGGAGGGATGGTGACATTGGACATTTTCCCAAGCATACAAGATCTAAGAAATGAATGGCAGGGTCTGCTCTCCCTTAAAATCTACGATTAAAACAGTACACCGGTATGGCTATGGCATTAATAGATTGAGTTTTCTAATTTGCAGAAGTACTTTCTATTAATAAATTATCAAACTACCTAAGTGCGCGGACTAATTTCCAATAAAGCGATAAGTCTAATTGATGAATACGATATTAGGGAATTTTATTTCAGAGATGTATCGAGTTTATTAATATAGATTTTGAATTGATATTAAATAATAGATTATCGTATTTAAACGGTAAT